GGGGAACTTTTTTAAATTTAAACCACCACTACCTTTCAGAGTGGAAGGCTAAGGCGTGAATATAACCTATAGCAAATTCTTCGGCAGCCGCATGGCACCGGACCGCATTGTCTGGCGACGCCAGTCAAAAAAAGAAAGAAAAAAGTTGTGATGGCGCTTCAGCAAAGCTTGGGCCCCAGTTCTGCTCCGGATCGTGATATTATTTTCCCCCCGAGCTGCCCTGCTCTGATGCTCTCTCTCTCTCTCTCTCTCTCTCTCTCTCTCTCTCTCTCTCTCTCTCTCTCTCTCTCTCTCTCTCTCTCTCTCTCACACACACACACACACACACACACATTTTAATATCTCTTCCACTTTCCTTTTGAAAAAAATAACCTCCTGTGATGCGCTTCGGATTCTCCAGCGGAGATAATTGGCTTGGGCCTCCTGGCTGGCTGGGAAGCGACCATTTGCTCGCGCCTGGTGTTAGAAGCTTGGGTGCTGCTCCCCGCACAGAACAGATGTGGCTTCTTAACTTAGGAGAGATTTCCTGCCTTCAGCATGAAAACCCCTGTAGTGGATTGCTAAGCTGCATGTAGGTAGGTAGGTTTTATTTATAAAAAAAAAAAAAAAAAAAAAACAGTCGTATCATGTATGAAACTGATGAGGACCGATATTGTACTCTCTTTTAGCCCAAACAAGAGGAGAGTTCCTACAGGTTGTTGTAGAGGCATCTCTCTCTCTCTCTCTCTCTCTCTCTCTCTCTCTCTCTCTCTCTCTCTCTCTCTCTCTCTCTGTTGTTGTTCATAATGTTCAGGCTGTTGTAGAGGCCAGGGTCCAGACACACACACGAGTAATTGCAATCTCCGCCAGCCATCGGTTGTTCGGATTTTGTGAGAGACCAGCTCCCTACTCATCCCTCTCATTAATTCTCCACCCCATTCCATGGTCATGTCATTGAATGAACTCGACCGGAAACATAGCTTGCATACATTGATGGATCAGCGAGCATTGTCTTTGGAGGCCATCACGGAAGCGCCACTATTGAAATCTCTTCGATTGATTCTTGTGTGCTACTAAAACCTTTTTTTTTTCTTTTGGGGTTTCTACAATCTTTCCCTGTTATCATTGGAGCTATGCACAAGACACCTTTTTTCTTTGACACACCATAATAGCAGGTTCTTTCTTTTTCTTTTTCCCCCCTTAAAGCCACAGGAGGTTCTGACCAATGGATGCTATCAAGTGATGGGGATTTGTGGTTAGGGAGAGGAACAGGCGTTAGAGAGAGTGAGAGTGTGTGTGTGTGTGTGTGTGTGTGTGTGTGTGTGTGTGTGTGTGTGTGTGTGTGTGTG